AGGGAACAGGAGAAACATGGTGCACTTGAGGAGGCTGATGTGCCTTGGGACAGCTATTTCCAGAAATGGTATTTAGTGAAGAATATGATTTGGTATTTGTGCTCTCTGATTTTTGCTATCATGTGATGGAGCAGTTCTTAGTTTTTATTACTGGAAGTGTCTTTCGGTTTCTAAAAATCTGTAGCATCGATACAGATGCCGAGACAGCTATGTATGTCTTCATAATAAAACGCAGCTAGCTAATTAATCAGCCTGGCCTTGAGTTCAGGACAGCAAATTCTTTTTTGCTCTAAATTCGGTTCCAGATTGGAAATAATTGTTTTTAGTATGGATGCCAGATTTGGGGCCCTGACATCTCCCACACATGCACATACACAGTGACTGTGAAACGCATTCCCATGCGCTTGGTAGAGAGTGGGACTCTGCTGTGAGGAAGGAAATGGCAGAGTTGTGGCCATTGCTAGAATAATTGCCTTTCTCCTTTGTACCCTTGACTGCCTGCAGTGCAGTTCTTTGATGTGCAGGCAGCGACTGCAGCCTGACTAGCCTGGTCCCCACCACAATGGGGTAAGAGAAATAATCAGGCTGAAAAGAGGTCTTCTGCTGGCCACTAATGTTAGTTTAGAGCACGTGTGTAATTTAAAGCCAGAGTAGAGGCATTTTGTCTCGCTGAGTAACTCTGTGGGGTTACATACATCAGCATCTTAGTTGAATAGTCAAGAATCATTAGGACAACCTAATCCTCAGGCTCTGCAGAAAATCTCTTGGGTGACTTTTAGGGTGGGCATCATTGCTCAAACCAAGAGAGCTTGCTAACTTGCTGGGAACCTCCTTTTTTATTTGATGGTATATGCTTACAGTTTTGCATCCCTGGACAGGCTCCTGACCTGAATCTAGTCCCTTGATAAAACATTACTCCAAATCAGACTAGGCAGTGCATTTGAACTGGGTGTCTGTAAGATTTTTTTTCCCTTCCCTGATCTGTCATTAAAATAACTTAGCTGGTAACTGGCTTTTCAGTTACCTGGACACTTCAAAAACAATTTGAAACAACTTAAGTCTCTGAAATTGCTTGTATTTATGTAATTCCTTCTCTTCTTTTTCAAAGAGGCAGTCCTGCTTAATGAAGAGAGGCTGTGGCATGAGACTTATGTTTAAGCTAAGTTGTAGTAAAATGTAGTTTGTACAGTACGGTTAATATTCCTGAAGTAGTGACTGCCTGGGACCTGAGACTTTCATGGAGAGTGAAAAGGGAAAAGAAACTTGACAGAGTATCTCCGGCATGTGCTGAGCTAGGTTGTGTGTACTGCACTTATACCATAAAAAGGGAAATCTTGATGTAATTAGAAAGCAAAATTAATGCTGTTTTTTTTTTCTCCAAGTTATCTGAAAAACAAAACGGTATTTTAAAAGGGAAGGAGGTTGTGGTTTTTTATTGTGAGTTGGTTGTTGGCTTTTTTTTGTTTGTGAGCACACTGAGTCTTAGGGCTTCTGAAGCATTACCGTATGTTCCCTTTGGTATGTGATGTTTGTTGTTTACTCTGTCCATCAAACTGTTTTCCTTTCATAGTTGTATCACCTTCAAACCAACAAATGTCTGGTTGCCCAGGGCCACCCAAGTCAGAAAGGAGGCCTGGTAGTGGTTCGGGAATGTGACTACAATGATCAAAACCAGGTATGATATTCCTAATTACATTGAATAGTGATTCACATCTTACAAATTGCTAACATGTTTTCCTCCTGGGAAAGTGCCCTAGTGTAACATCTCATCAGCAAGCAGGCTGATAGCAGACTGTCATTCAAACCGTGCGGCTGGCTGAGGAGACTGTGTAGCTTACTGCTCTGTACCTACTAATGCTGAGTGTCAGCATTATAATCTCCTATCTTTATGGCATGAATCTCTGTATGTGGCTGAAGACTATCCTTAAGTGGCTCCTGACGGGTGCGTAATCTACTGATTGACACTTCAGAATTTGCAGAAGCTCTTTTAGTCAGCTCCTCATACCAGGATTTAAGGCAGCCTTTTCCTGCCCTGTTCTTTGTGTATTGTACAGCTAGTCCTTTGCTGCTGGAGTGGCTTTATTTTGGGGTGAAGGAATGATTTGTTATTATTGTTAAATAGAAGGAACTATAAGGAACTTAAAAAATTCTTTGGCTACAGGTGAGGATTAGTTGGGGATGGATGTGAAAATCTAATGAGAGTTTTTATATTACTACATGAAGTTTTTGCTGTTCCACTTCTTTCAGGCAACAAAAATTCAGGACTTGCATAAACAGTCTCCAGGGTGGAGAGATCTTCACCTAATGCCATAAAGACTTTTACCTAGCTAAGAACTACATTGAGAACACAGTGATTTAGGAACCCATGGGACCCAAGTCTATAAACTAGATTACATCTAAAGAGAAAAGTAATCGAAGACACAAAATAAATGGAGCGTGGATTGTAATGCAGCATAGTTTTGCCAAACGTGGGTTGTGTTAGACTAACTTGATACTTTATGAAATGGGCAGTAATTTTCAGGATATAGAAACTGCAGCAGTAGAAGCAGGATGGCTTGTAATAGTCCCAAACAAAAAGTTGTGTGCTCTGTCACAGAATCACAGAATGGTAGGGGTTGGAAGGGACCTCTGGAGATCTAGTCCAACCCCACTTCTAAAGCAGGATCACCTAGAGCAGGTTGCACAGGATCGCATCCAGGCAGTTTTTTAATACCTCCAGAGAAGGAAACTCCACAGCCTTTCTGGGCAGCTTGTTCCAGTGCTCTGTCATCTTCAAGGTGAAGTTTTTCCTCATGTTCAGATGGAACTTCCTGTGTTAATTAGTTGTCAACTAATGGGACTTTGTCCCTCCTACTTGTGGCCTCACCAGTTGAATGTGACAGAGGAAGACAGCATGAGGGGTGTTAAGCCAGTGTCTGGGTAAGTGTGGGTGGCTGTAGATACATGATCTCCACTTAGACAGGACCGAGTGTTACATCCCTGCACTTTGCCTCTGGAGCACTGACTAATCATCGCTATGACCAGATTGTAGGTCCGTGTGTTAAAGGTGGATGAATTTAACCTGGAATGGGAATGACGATTTTCATATGGGATCTCTTCGATTAGCTGTAAGAAAGTCAGCAAGTCTTGTAAATGTGAAGACTGTAAATGTATTAGTAACTGATTGGCACCAGTGATTGTACATTTACAGTGACAAAGGTGTTAACGCTGCTTTCTGAGTCTGTGAGTGAGCAGCAACAACTTGCAGTGGATTATGTCCACAGTAAGAACAAATGGGTCCTTATGGTGAATAGTTCACTAATAGTGAACTGTCACATGTCTGGAGGAGGAAGTCTATTGTTTTTTATAGAATCATAGAATGGTTTGGGTTGGAAGGGACCTTAAATATCATCAAGTTCC